GGTATCCCAAAAAACTGGGTTAATTTTTTTTTTTGGCTTTTCTTTAAAAACAGTTTCCCTGACGTAAAAATCTGTATAAATATAATAGCTTAACAACGGTTGTCTCGGAAACTGAATTTTTTATGATGAAAAAAAGAGAAAGGTGGAAAAAAGTATTTTTTTTTTCGTTTTTCGTTTATGACATAATTTTATTTTCTTTTTTTTTGAAAAAGCTTTTTAAAAAATCTTTTTTAAATAGGATATCTCTTAATTTGACTGCAAAATTTCAAAATTTTGCTTTTTGCACTTCTGACCAATTTTAGATGTTCAATACAAATTAAATATAGAAATTTTAAATGAATCAATTTAGAATTTCTTATGTTAACAACACTAAAAAGAGCAGAAGAACTTATACTGTTGGTTTTTTTTTTTTGGTGCATTTGGACAGTAACTTAGTGAAAACTGTAAAAGTGTAAACGATTGTTGCAAAGAATGAAATAAGTAGACGAAGGAATAAAAATAAAGCTGTTTTTTGTTTCATAGTTAAATTTTTGCAGTAATTTCTAAGGGTGAAAAACAAAAAAATTGTTGCTGTGTAGAGTAATGTCAAGAAAATTGCTAAGTGTTGAATATCGCAAATTTGATGATGGTTGAAAAAAAGTTGGATGATCATCATCATCATCTTCAGTATCTGTTCAATTCTGGTTGTAACTGATGTGTTTTCTTCGTTCCCTTCCACTCAGTTGTCGTCGTCGTCTTCCTCTTCTTCTTCTAATGTCTAGATTAATTGTCTTTCTTTTTTTTTCTTACTATTTTCTCGCTTTTGAACAATTCCGGTCACTAAAGCAGTGACTTTTGTTTGTGGTATCGTTAATGATTACTGCTTCACCGCAAACTATCATATTTTTATTATAAATCTGCTTTGATAACTATAAACATTGTGCTATTATATTATTCTAGTTTTTTTTCTGTTTTTACTTCTTTATTTGCTTTAATAAGACATTTGGTAGAAAAAAAAATTTGTTGAGAGTACAAGCAAAGAAAAAGTGTATTGGTAATGTGGATAAAGTTGCAACAAAAAGTTTTTTTTCTCTGTTTTTGAAACATTATTAAACCCAGTTTTCTTTGGTAACAGTTTTTGTAAGAAAGTTTTATATCTTTAGTTCAGATTAAGTATTAAAACTTTCGCCTAGATTAGGCGCTTTTTTTATCTTCTCTCTCTGCACTAATATTGGGATAGTTTTGTTGTTGCCGTCTGTAACCAATTTAATTTCACCCACACTTAAAGTTTTATAAAATTTTAGGCTGAAACAAAAAATTAAAGCAACTAGTTCTCTGGTAAGAAATAATGGTGAAAAAAAAAGAAAGAGGAATGTGGAAATCATATGAGCAGAAGAAGTTAAAGGAGAATCTGTTAGTGTAAAAAAGAAAGGTTTCAAATCTTTGCCTAAGCAGTCTGTTTGTGTTAGTAAAAGAGCAGTAGTGTTATTGTTTGTTGTTATTGTTGTCTTCTCTTTATGCTATTAAGTAAACCAAAATTGAAGCGGGTAGCGGCTAGCGGGAGTACGAGAAGGAAACCAAGGGAGGAATGAGGGTTTGGGTCCAGTAAATACTTCATTCATATTTGCCTGGTATTTTACTGCTCAATTTGAAAAACTGTTGTTTTTTTCTTGGCGTTTGCTAATACAGTTTTTATATTTTGCAATTTGTGCATCACATCGATCAATTTAAATTTTGTAATATTAAAAAAAAAGGCTTTTGATTTTGCATAAATTTATTACTCCGTATACTGTACCCCAATTCAGAGTTGTTTCAAGTTCTTTTTTTTTTTCTGATTTTTGAAAGTTATAGAACAACATTTTGGTCGGTAACGTTCATTTATTTATTTGTTTGAGTTTTTGTCTATATCTGACTTAATTGCTAAAATTTTTGGCTTAAGTATACAAAGTTGCTTCGCGAGAAAATGTTTAGCGGGTTTGATGCGATAACAGAAAACAAGTTACATGGATGATCCATGTGGATTCACAGTTGACAAAACCGGTATTTTACTGCTTCTTCTGAACTTTCACACTCTTCTGGATTTGAGGGTCTGATGTACTTCTATGCTGCTTTTTTTTATAAGATTAACTTAAGTTATTGAACGCCAGAAGTTTTGGTATTGAACGATGGTATAGCGTTTTGGAGCAAGAATACAGCTGAATTTTGAAAGCATTTTCAAGTACTTTAGCGCTATAACAGGAATTTTTTTGGGCAGTATCTTTGATTTTAACTTATGAAAGCAAATTTCTTTTTTTTGGAGAAGAGCCGGATAGTGCGGAATTTTTTTGTTTACATATAGTAGAGTAGAGAGATCTATGGTAAAAGTTTGTATCCTGTATTTTTGCCTTCTTCTGTAGCACATATTTTTTTTTTTGTCTATTATCATATCTGAAAACAAGACTAAAAAAAGAGCATAAAACTTTAAGTAGAAGCAGCAATTCCTGTTTTAACAAATTTTTCTTTTTTGTTTGATTACAGAATCAAGGCAACAGTTTCTTCTTAAAGTCCTGTTCATTTGTGTTTGGAAGTGATTAGTAATATGGTTTCACAAAAAAAAAAAAAAAA